GTTGGATGGTGTGTTAGTTTCTCTTCTGTTGCTGTGACAAAATACCACACACAAGCAATTTAAAGAACAAAGGAATTGGTTTTGTTCATGGCTTGAGGATACAGTCCATCATGGCAAGAACAGCATGCTGGCAGGAGTGTGAGGAAGCTGGTTACATTTCATCCACTGTCAGGAAACAGAAAGAGATGGATACCGCTGGACCCACTTTCCTTTTCTAAAATTGTGTAGCCCAGACTGGCCTCAAACTCATGATCCCTCTGCCACCACCTCTTCAGCATTTGCCCACCAAACTGTTCCATCACAGTGACACGTTCTTCTGTTTATTCACCTGAACTCCAGTGTGTGGGATGCTGCGGCCCACATTTAAGGAGGGTACTTTCACCCCAGTTAAACCTCTCTGGAAATGCCCTTACTGACCTCCACAGAGGTTTGTCTCCTAGGGGATTTGAAACCCCCTTAAGCTGACAATGAAGATTAGCTGTCATGGATGGTGAGGACATTTCTGACGTCAAGTGAAAATTGGGAGATTGTTTTTCAAAGTAGTAATATTCACCCTGTGTGGCGACCTTATTACTCCACAGTCTTGACTGCATTTGCAATAGTTCAGAATTCTTATTTTTTATTAGCTCTTTGGGTATTTCATAAATGTATTTTGATCATAGTCATTCCCTTCCCCAAACTCCTCCCAGGTCCCCTCCTTTCCTGTCTTTTTGTCCTCTTGGTTTTAAACTCATCAAATACAATGTGTGCTGCCCATACATTCTTTTTTAGGCTCAAGGTTTTGTAGGTTTCTATCCATGCTTCTTCTTCTTCTTTCTTTTTTTCTTTCTTTTTTTCTGAGACAGGGTTTCTCTGTGTAGTTTTGGTGCCTGTCCTGGATCTCACTCTGTAGACCAGGCTGGCCTCCAACTCATAGAGATCCACCTGGCTCTGCCTCCCGAGTGCTGGGATTAAAGGCATGCACCACCACTGCCCAGCCAATGGTATTCATTCTTAGTGACCAGGATTTAGAAGTTATTATCCTATTTTCAGTGATTAATATTTATTTATTTATTTATTGTGTATGAGTGTTTTGCCTGCATGCATGTATGTGCACCATGTGTGTGCAGTGCCCACAGAGGCCAGAAGAGGGCATCTCATTCCTAGAAACTGGAGTTACACCCATTGTGAGCTGCCATGTAGGCACTGGGCTTTAACCCAGGTCCTCTGCAAGAGCAGCCAAGGCACTTAACCACAGAGTCATCTTTATTATCTAGCTTCACTGTTTTGTTTTTTAAGTAATACTTTTATTTATTTCACATATTTATACAATGTGTTTTGACATCCATCCACCACTCCCTTCATCTAATTCCTCCTAGTGTCCTCAGCTAGACGCTGGGCTTTGTGGGGTAGGGGTGACACAGGGTCTCATGTATCCCAGCCTGGCTTTGAACTCACTGTGTAGCTAAGAATAACCTCGAACTTCTGGTCCTATTGTACCTCCTGAATGCCGAGATTACAGTCATATGCCACCACACCCTGTATATAAGTGCTGGGGCTCAGACTCAGGACTTGGTGTGTGCTAGGCAAGCACAATCAACTGAACCACAGCCCTTCCCATTTTTTAAAAAAGAGATTTATTTTTTATTTTATTTGTGTGTGCGTGCGTGCATGCGTGTGTGTGTGTGTGTGTGTGTGTGTGTGTGTGTGTGTGTACCATGAGTCTCTGGGCACCCTTGGAGGCCTGAAGGGGGTGTCAGATCCTCTGGAGTTATAAGTGGTTGTGATTTGCCCAGTGTGGGTGCTGGGAATTGAACTTGGCTCTTCTGGAAGAGCGGCACACGCTCTTAACCACAGAGACATTTCTCCAGCCCTACAGAGGCAGTTACTGTAATACAGAGTAACTGCGCTCTTAAGTATCTGACTACATTTCATTACTTCTTCACCCCCTCCTTCGCCCTGCATGATATCTAACATATAGACTCTACTTTATAAGACTCTAAGTATAAAGAAATTCTGTGCCCCCCTGCTGTCTCCCTACCACCCACCATAGGGTTATGAGGATGGCGATACCTGGCAGACTTGGATTCTAGAGCAAACTAGCTCCCTGGCCTCACCATGACTTCCTTTCTCAAACCATGGCTCTCTTTAAGAAATGTTCGCACCCTGGGTATCTGAGTTTTTCTATAGTCAATCGAACATCTCCTTAAGCTGTATCCTGTATTGACTCCTGGCCACAGATGGAGTCACGAGACCCTTCCCCTGCCTTGTGAAGTTCCATCAAAGTCCCCGATTCTGTCCTGAATAGTGGTGCCAGTCTGACCGTCTTAAGAGGCGTATCTTTTTGAACACGCTCCTGTATTTTGTCCCCTTTCCCTAACCTAGCTGTGAGATTTTGGAGAGCAAGGACAGTTCTCTTGGCCTTTGTGTCTAATGTCATGTCTTCCCCAAGCTCCTACTGAGCTGTCACTGCTGTATGCCATTGTCACTCTGGTCTGTCAATGACAGAGATGATACCAACTGATTATCGCCAAGTAGTTACTATGTGCCAGCTCTGTTGTCTCACCTCAGTCTTAGCACCATATCACGAGGTAACTCCAATTTTACCCTCAGCTTACAGACAAAGGAACTGAAGCTTAAAGATGGGTAGTGACTGGCCCTGAGGTTACAAAGCTGATGACTGGCAGAGCCAAAGTGAATGCAGGTATCCAGATGCCAGAACCCATGCCTCTCTCAGTGGTACCCTGCCCACCTCCTCTGTCATCAGAGAGATGGATAGGACTATATTTGTCCCACTTGCGTCAAAGGATGGTCTGAGCACGATAAAATGAAATAACTGGAGAGGGCTAAAGGAAAAAAAATAAAAAGAAGTTAGAGATTCAAAGAAAAAGCATTGTCATTAAACCTTGGGGATTTCCAGACATTATTTCATAGCTCTGGTTCTCTGACATTATTATCTGCTCCCATCTGCCCTCTATTAAAGGCTTCCCAAAGGGATTGTGTTGATGAGAACCCAGTGGTACTTAGCAGGAAATTACTCCCCTAAATGGTTCTGGTGACCCTTAAACCTTGGCCGTTGTAGACAGAGTAGGTTCTGAGACATTCCGTTTTGGTGCTTCATTCAAAGGGATGACAAAGAAGTGGGGAAAAAACCATTGATTTTTCTATACATTTAGGGTCTGGGTGTGCATGGTGTCTATCTCCCTTTTCCTAACGCTCCCTTAGGGCCAGAGTCTTATGGGAGGATGCTGTCCGGGATGATGTCTGAATGTAAAGTAACTCCGTTGGGGGCTCTGAGTGTCTCAGAAGAGAAAGAAACGTGCTGCCAAGCCTGGTGACCCCTGCTGTTTCCTGGACACACGAGTTCTGTAAGTTGTCCTTTGACTGCCACACTTGTGCCACCACTCCCCTCTCTCTCTCTTGTGCACACACACACACACACACACACACAAATAAATAAATAAATGTAAACCCAGAATTTTAAATTAACCCCATAGCCAGGAAGAATGGTAACTTTGACTCAGTTGGGGAGAGGGGTCGCCTGTGTGGTAGTGGAGGAGTCTACTGAGTGGTAGGAGTAGGCTCTAAGCACAGATGCTGCTGGCCAGGTTCCCTAGTCCACAGCCAGGTTCTTATTCTGCTCCAGCCAAGAAGAGATAGTACAAGCAACCGCTACTCCTTTTCACACGGACTAAATAACTGCAGAGCTAGAGAGTTGGCTCAGAGGCTAAGAGCACCTGCTGCTGCTCTTGCAGAGGACCCGGGTTTGGTTTCCAGTCCTCACACTGCAGTTAACAGCCATCCGTCATTCCAGTTCTAAGTGGTTTGATGCTTTCCTAGTGCACACACATACACACATACATGCGTGCAGGTAAAACACTCATACACAGAAAATAAAAATTAGTAGTTCTTTAAAGAATTGCAGAGCTCTCTGCTGCCAAACCAAGAGAAACTCAAGACAGTGTAACTCTGCATCCATTAAAGAGAATGCTGTAGACGACACTGCCAGTTCCCATTTACTGTGTCAGGAGTGAGGACGTGTGTGCTTCCTAAGTCTCCTCTCCCTCAGTTCAGCAGCCTCATCAGGTAGGCTCTATCGTCATCCCACCTCAACAAAGGAAGACAAGGCACTTGGAGAGGTTGAGTCACCTGCCCAAATGGCTCGGGTGGATCACACTCCCCTTCCTCCCCAGCTTTTTACTGTGAAAAATGTCAAACCAGTAGAAGACTTGTCAAATGAACACTGAAAAGGGTACAGCGGCAACCGAGTGCTTCCTTGGTTTTGCTTAATCATAAACCCATATTTTCTATAGTTTTGTTTGATTTCAGCTTTCAAAATGAACCTTGTGGCTTGTGGAACACTGAAATATGGTACAAATCTGTCTTATTTTTAAAGATTCTACATGCAAGAGGTGCTGCTGTGTGAAGCTTCTGAGTCAAGTAAGACAAACCATCTCCAACGGGGTGAAAGGAGGGACCCCCCGGTAACGGTTACATCCCGGTAACGGTTACATCCCGGGAAGCCTTGGGAATTCCACAGACAACTCTTGGGATTCTCTCTCTCTCTTTTTCCCCCCATTCTTTGAGTATCTCTTCCCCAGCTTGTTTATTTGTTGTTATTGTGGTCTCCTCCATTGCTCTCCACCTGCACATTCATAACCGACAAGGAGGTTGTCAGGAAGAATGACTGATGGAAAGTGCTGAGAAGGAACGCACTCGGGAAACAGAGAAATCCTAACTAGTAATAAGCATAATTGCTCTTCAAAATCTATCCAAAGCCCTCGCCCCCACCAGCAGGCAAACAAAGAGGCAGAGTGTGTTCACTTCAGACACCTCCTTAGTTGTGTGTGTTGGGGGGCAGAGTCGGAAAGTGTCGGAGGAATGAGTCAGTTGTCAACTGTATTGCAGGCTCCTCTCTGCCTGTGCCTCGGGTGCTGGGCCCTGCTCCAGACCTGCCCCGTGCCTTCCTTTTCCTAAAGCTGAGCACTGGGGTTCTGGAGAGAGAGGTCTCAAGGTCCTACCTGCTTTAGACTCCGTGTCGGCACGGCTATATTCCTGTGACCGATGATCTGTCCAGCTGTTTCCTAAGTGGAAGTTAGGAACATGGTCTGTTTGTGCAGCAGACATGGGGATATTAGGAGACTATGGCCTGTTAACGTATTTAAAAAATGCAGAAGATGCAGACCAAGGCAGGGAGAAGAGGGCGTAAGTAGGAAGATGATGCAAAAGCAGTAAGTTTTTTTAAGTTTTTCAAGACAGGGTATCTCTGTGTAGCCTTGACTGTTCTAGAACTCACTCTGTAGACCAGACCAGCCTCAAACTCACAGGCTTGAGTATTAAAGACTGTACATGTCTCAAGTTGTCATGCCCTTCTTGTGACCATCTGAAATCACCTGTCTACCATGGTCTAAGAGAAAGCAGTACCAACGGTGAAAAGATCTTTCCTGGAACAGAACTTTCTCTCCTGTCTGTGTTCCTCCAGGTTGGCATAGGGTGGGAGATATGATTAACTTCACATTTTGCTGCTCAGAGAGAGGCTAGGGTAAGTTAATATCTTATTATATTTATGACATCTAATGTTAGAACCACTGAATTCTCAGAAGCAGCTGTCTTATCCAGTTAAAAATTTCTCCCTAATTACAAATGTTGGCAAGTCTTTTAAAAAACAGTTTGGCAGCATGTAGTGCATGACTTAGGAAGCTTATGTTTGAAAGTAAAGACTCAAATATAAGTGGTTTAAACAAAAGAGACAATTTATTATTTATTATCATTTTAAAATATTCAGTTTTTGGATTCCAGCTTCACTTGCTACCGGGAACTTTGTAGCTACCATCTTGTGGTATAAACCCAGACAGACTACCAACATTCTATCCCACTTTCCCCTCCATTAGAGCTACCCAAGCCCCTTGGCTGCTTGCCAGGATCATCTACCTCCTCTCAACCCATCTCCCACCCTCTGGAACCCATCAGATCTCAGCTCAATTCCTGTCAGCTATCATGCGTGACCAGGAGTCAGAGAGTCTTGTCATCTGTCTGACTGGCACCCTCCAGTTGCTCTATCCAGCATTGTAAACCACAACCAGAGAGCCAGGCAGTGGTGCTCTGGGAGTTTAAGGCCAGCCTGGTCTATAGAGGGAGTTCCAGGATATCCAGGGCTATACAGAGAAACCCTGTCTCAAAACAGCAATAATGACAAAAACAAACAAAAAGAAAACCATAATGAGACACATTACCAGAGGAAACTTGTTTTGGGCTCTTTGGCCAAACTCTTGAGAAACTGAAGACCTGGATAGAGGCTGTCTCTCCAAATACCAGGTAAACAGAGAAATTGAGATGCCAACCCTTCTTGGAATTAGGCCCATCTCCCAGACACTTTAAATGCCTATGATGGAAGAAGAAAGGTGTCATGAACAAAAAAGGCAGGAATTAATGAGCATCTTTTAATAATAACTGAGTATTAATGGTCTTTATTCCCCCAATGAAAAGACACAGACTAACAGATTGGACTAGAAAACAGGAACCTCTTTGTTGTTTCAGAGGAACACACCTCACCAACAAAGACAATATCCCCTTAAGGCAAATGGATGGGAAAATGTATTCTAAGCAAATGGAACTAAGACACAAGCAAGTATAGCTATTCTATTATCTGACAAAATCGACTTCAAATCAAAACTAGTCAGAAGATAAATGCAGTAAACACAGGGGCATCAACTTTAATTAAAAAAAAAAAAACACTGTTAAACCTAAATCACATTGTACCCCAGCAGAGTAATAGTGAGTGATTTTAATACCCTACCCTCACAAATTGATCATCTGGAAATAAGCTATGGAAATAACTATGGAAATACATGACATTATAAATCAAATGGGTTTAACAGGTATCTACAGAACATTCCACCCAAACACTAAAGAACATGTTCTTCTCAGCAGCCCATGGAACTTTCTCCAAAATTGATTATATATTAGGACACAAAGCAATAGTCAACAAATAAAGAAAAACTGAAGTCATATCCTTAATTTTATCTAACCACAATGAAATAAAGTTGGATATCAACAGTGATAGAAACTACAGAAAATGCATGAATTTGTGGAACTTGAAGATATATTACTGAATACTAATTGGATTAAGAATTAAATCAAGAAGAAAATTTAGAAATTCCTAGAATTTGAATGAAAATTAAAACAACACACCATAACCTATGGGACACAAATGAATGCTGTTGCAAGATTAAAGTTTATAGAACAAAGTGCCTACATTAAAAAGATTAAGGAAATATCAATTTAAGAAATTAATGAGAATTCATGGTGTAGAAAAAGGAGCAGAGATAAAAAGAAAATGGAACAGACATACTACTTAATGAAATTATAGCAATAAACTTAGAAAAGAAGTAGACAACTAAACACAAGAGATACAAAGAATTCTGAATAACATGACCAGAGAAGAAAGGCCCCATGACACATCATAGTCAGGATGTCAGAAATACTAAGCAGGAGCTGGGGAATGACCCAGTGGTTGAGAGCACTGGCTGCTATTCTAGAGGATTCAGGTTTGATTCCCAGCTCCCAAATGGTGGCTCATGGCCATCTTTAACTCCAGTTCCAAGGGTCCTGATGCCCCTTCCTGGCCTCCAAGGGCATTAGGCTTACATGTAGTGCACAGACAAACTTGTAGGCAAACAATTACATACATGAAATAAGATAAAAATAATTTTAAAGATCCAAAAATCTGTGATAATCCCTTATATCCTATACGACCATGATGAAATAAGACTGGGAATCAACAATAAGAGGAACTACAGACTCCACAGAATACTTGTAGACTAAACAATACATTTTAAAATTGAGTTATCCAAGGAATCAAGGAGAAAAGTTAAAGATTCCTAAAAACAATTGATAATGAGAACACAACCTATCAGAATCTTTGGGATGCAACCAAGGCAGTCCTGAGGGGATGTTTACAGTGATAAGAACCCACATTAAAGAATCTGAGAAATATTAGATAGACCACCCAACGATGCACCTCAACGCTCTCACAAAACAAGCAGCCAATTCCAAGTGAACATAATAAAGATTAGGTAAGAAATCAATGAATAGAGACTGAAAAACAATACACAAAATCAAACAGTTCTTTGAAAAAGTTAGTGAGATAGATAAACCCTGAGCTAAACTGACAAAAGAAATAGGAAGAAGACACAGATTAACAAAATTCCAGGTCAGGAGGGTGACATTCCAACTGACTCCAATATCATGCAGAGCGTTTTGAGAGATTACTGTGAAAACTTATGCACTAAAGGCCTTGAAAGTCTAAAAGAAATAGATTTCCTAAATGTATATCATCTACCAAAATTAAAGCCAGAAGATATAAATAACTTAATCAGACTCATTATAAGCAATGAGATCAAAGCTCTAATAATCAAAAGCCTCAAAGAAAAGCCTAGGACCAGATAAATTCACTACTGAATTCTATCAAATTTTCAAGGAAGATCTCATGCCAGTGAAGGGACACTTCCAAATTCATTCTGTGACACCAGTGTTATTCTGATACAAAACCCAGTTAATACACAACTAGACAAGAAAACTGCAGGCCAATTTCTTTGATGAACATAGACGCAAAAATGCTCAATAAAATAGTGTAAACTGAATTCAGTAACACATTAAAAAGGTTATACATCATGACCAAATGGGATTCAGTCAAGAAAGGCAAAGTCATTGGGTGTTGGTGGTGCACGCCTTTAATCCCAGCACTCAGGAGGCAGAGCCAGTCGGATCTCTGTGAGTTCAGATCTCTGTGAGTTTGAGGCCAGCCTGGTCTATAGAGCAAGATCCAGGACAGGCGCCAAAACAACACAGAGAAACTCTGTCTCGAAAAAACGAAAAACAAAACAAAACAAAAAAAAAAAAGAAAAAAGAAAGGCAAAGCTGACTCAACATAAATAAGTCAACAAATATGTTAACTTAAGGACAGAAACCACATAACAATCTTGATTGATGCTGAAAGGCATTTGACAAAGTTCAACATGTCTTCATGATAAAAAGTCCTGGAGACATTAACAATAGATGGAACATACTTCCAAATAATAAGGGCTGTATACAACAAACCTATAGCCAGAGTTATACTAAATGGAGACAAGCAAAACATTTCTCCAAAATTAGGAATGAGGTGAGGACACTCACTCTTTCTTACTTGATCTAGTGCTTGAAGTCCTAGCTATAGTAGTTAGACAAGACAGAGATATAAAATGAATAAAAATAGGAAAGGAAGAAGTCCAGCTATCCCTATTTGCTCTCTGCATGTGTAAGTCTTTACTTAAAATACCTTATAGGATCCACTAGAAAAGTTAGATTTAATAAACCCAGTAAAGATGCGGGATTCAAAATCAATATGAAAATCAGTAGCCTTCTTATATCCCAACAATGTACTCTCAGAGAAGGAAATTGGGAAAAACACCCCACTCAAAATAACTCCAAAATAATTAAATGTCTAGGAATATATCTAACCAAAGAAGTAAAAGAACCTCTACAATGAAAACTTAAAGACATTGACTAAGGATATCAAAGAAGAGACTAGATAAAGCAAAGATCTTACATGCCCCTGGATTAGCAGACTTAATATTGTAGAAATGACTATATTACCAAAATTAATCTACAGTTTTAATACAACACCTACCCAAATACATCATCATATTCCAGAGATTTTAGAAAAAACATCCAAGAATAAATATGGAACCATAAAAGACCATGAATACCCAATTTTATGGAGTAAGAAGACAGCTGGAGTTACCACAATATCCAACCTTGAATTATACTATATGGCTAAGTGATAAAGACACCTTGGTATCAGCAAAAAATAGACACCTAGACCAGTGGATAGAACAGAGTTTCTGGAAATTAACTAACAAAGATATGTCTACATAATTTTTGACAAAGGATGCAAAACTACATAAAATTCTGCTCACCTAATTTTGACACAGATGGGCTATTCAACAAATGGTGCTGGAAAAACGGGATATCCACCTGCAAACAAATGAAAAATTAGATTTGCATCTTTCTCCTTGTATAAAAATCAATTCAAACTGGATCAAAGGCCTTAATTTAAAGCTTGGAATGTTCAACCTGCTAGAAGAAAA